CCATTTTCCAATATTTTTCGGTGCATTTATCATTTTCTAATCTCGGTAATCTAGAATATAAATTGGTTCTGAAAAATCTTTCCTTTCTAACATTAAAATGAAATATGGGATTCTTAATCGAATTCTGTTACAAATATATGCCTTGCTTCTATAAAATACAAAAAGTTTAATCGAGTTATTATAGTTTTCTAAGAAGTCAAAAGAGATATTTTCAATTTCTTTTGTCCCCTTAGATAAAAGTAGTCTTTTTACTTTTCATAGGTTAAAGAAGAAACATTCAAAGATATTTTAAAATGGTACAAAAATATTCAAAATCAATCGATTTTCTATTTTCTTTTTCTTCTGTTTTTTATGTTTCTTTCTCTCTTTCATTTTACCGTAAATTTCGTAGAAATATTTTTGCAAAAGAGAGATCAAAATTATTCTAAAATGAACAAAATAAATTTTTTCAGATTTGATGTATCAATTGATTATAATAACTACTATTCTTACTAAAGCTATTACAAAATTAGTTGGGCAAAGAAAGAGTGAAGCATTTAAAAGTATTTTGAAATTATAAAAATCAACCATTCGCAGTTTTTAAACAATACATATCTCATTTTAATTAAATTTGATGTTTCAGTGAAATGTAAAACAAATTTATTCTGGAGAAATAAAGTATCATAATGAGTCATTTCCAGGTTTTTAAATAATTGCTTAATTTCGCCCAAATGAAATTTTTACAAATTAGTTACTTTTCTCAAGGTAACACTGAATTTCACAGGAAACAAATGTTTTTATAATATTTTATTCAGTGAATTACTTATATTTTTATTAATTGAATTTATTAATTGAATAATTAACATGTGTTCGAATAATTCCAGATGCTATTTCTCAAGTTGTTTCAATTAAATAAACAGCTCTTACGAACGCTGAAATTCACTAAATTCTTTGAATAATACTTCATAAGATATTTAAAAAAGAATTTAAAATTTTACTCATGTATTATACAATTCTTTCCGTTAGTAAAATATTTCTTACTCTATTAAAAATATTCCTTAATTAATTATACAATATGCAAAATTTAAGGTGAAAATTGTCAGAATTATAGGACTTATGTCCTGTTTATCTGTTGATACCTTACGGAAAAAAATAAGTAACAAAATAAAAAAACTGAATTCTATTTTATACATACAAAACTGAATTTTATTTTATACATTCTTTCTGGTTTTGGAAAATGTACAGTTGGGAACTTCAAACGCATATTCATACATGTTTTTCTAACAAAAATGTATCATTTGGAAGATTCTATTCTTAAAGTTACCAAATATCCGTCTTTCGGAATTTGGCACAAGTTTTTCAGAAATTTTAAATTAATCATATTTTGGCTAAATTTCGTTATACTAGGATGAGATAGTTTCCCTCTTTTTTCCTTTATTTTTTCATTTGGTTATGAGAAGATTTTTCTGTGGCTGAAACTCTTTTTCCTACTTAACCAATATAAAACTTACTTTTATGGATATGTGACCAAAACGTGTGCAATAAAAATATGTTAATTTGATATCATATTTTCTGATATGTCACGAAAAGACCTTCGTCGAGATATTTAGACATAGAATTATTTTGAAATAATCTATCTGAAATATATTTGGCTGGTTTAATTTAATTATTGCTAAAGATCGGTCAATAAGATCTAACTTACGAAGGGCATTCACAGACTATGTTAATCTGTCTACATAATTTGTTATATATCTGAAAGAAATTATGAGCAACACTCATGTTGTTTCTCTGAAAGTATAATGAACCCGGCTACATACTTTCTGCAGTACAAAAAAATTATTCCTACGAAAGACATAAGCTTCTTCTGAGTATAAATGTAACTGCGCGGAGTATCAACGTCTTAGTTTTCACTGCTGTATTAAGCTTAAGCAAATCTTTAGAGATATACATTTTAGAGTTAATATACATTGTGTCCAAAATGTTCCTTATGCGATCTTTATTTTCGAAACCGTTGGTAACAGAAACATATTTTCCATTACAAATATACTTTATATAACGCAAATATTCATGTTACGGCATTCTAAGATTAATTAAAAAATTGATGAATGTTAACTTTTAGTACACATCCACAGTGCCTATGGTTACATTCGATGAAAATTAATGCTAATTTGAAAAATAGAACTCTAATTTGAAAAATAGAAATGCTAATTTGAAAAATAGCATTTGCTTCCTGTTAAGACAAAAATTGATCAAGATAAGTAATTTCAAAATTTGGGATGCTTAATCTCATTCATATTGCACTAAAACTCCTCACGCTTTCCTTGAGGCGTCAGTTAAATATAAATTAAAAAACATACAGGTTTATTATTTCTCTTTAACGTCATTTAGTTATTTATTTTTGTGTTTTACTAACGTGTAATACTAGCAAAGCTAGTATTAGCGTATTAATAGCTTAATTTACAAATTTGTTACATATGGTATGCCCACGGTTTTCTGGAACATGATTTCTCTAAAATTATGTGACTGTATCTTTTTGAAATCAAATTTGATTGATAAATGCTTTTCAACGCAGTCTGCACAGCAGTGCTCGTCATTTAATCTATTAACAGGCTTTAATCTATTTAAGGACTAGTTTTGTAAACTGACACTTCATTTTCAGCATCTACAGAATGCGAAATCTTCAGTTTGAGAACGACCCATGAATAACATTTTAAGTTTTCAGAATTAGATATTTAGGTAAGTTTTCAGTACGTAGTAGTCCAAGATTTTCTGTTTCATTTTTCATAATGCTCATAAACTTTTATTTAATATAATTATAGAAAATTAGATATTGTAGTTTTAACGAAATCGACTTTTTAAACTTAAAAGTGTTGTAATATGAGTGTTTTGGTGACTTAAAGTATTTTTGTTTGTAAGTATATGTTTAGAATCAGCGACTGCTCTAATAAAAGCAGCATAAAAAGTTTCATGGGCACAATATTTGCGTAGTTATGTTGTTATTGTGTTACAATTATACTAAAAGTATTTCTGAGCAACGTAATGTTTTATTGCAAACTACTATACCTTTTTTGAACAATTATAAAAGAAATGCTTAATTTATAGTCTTTTGAATATTTTAAATAATATCAAGAAGATAAATATACTTTGTCTCAATAAAAACATACATTACCAGCTTACATACTGATGGCATTTCGAAGAAATACAGTGTTAAGAATACTGATATTGCTTCACCAAGATAGAGTGGAAAGTTTGATAGAAATGGGAAATTTTCCGCATGCATATACTTGTTAATTATATGCACACTGTCAAAAATCGAAAACAAAATGTTCAAATCATTTTGATGTATTCAATATGTAATATGACCACCATATGCGAAACTGTGCATTTACTTGCCTTGGCATACCTATTAAGTCCATAGTTAATCATTTGCCAAGGAACATTTTCACACGTTGTAAGCATTTATTCATGATAGCTTGAGAATCATATGCATAATCATATGCAAAAACGGGCATTTACATGCCTTGGCATATCTTTCAAGGCCGCACTTAATCATTTTCGGAGGAATATTTTGACACGTTACAAGCATTTTTTCATGATAAGCTCGAGAAATACCGAGGCCTACAATAGTCGTACAATAAAAGGCCCTTGTGATACTCTGTACAGTAGAACTCGCAACACTGCCAGATCGACATAATGTAGAACTAACAGTGTACCAAAAAGAAAGAATAGTACGATTTTTATACCGTAATTTATACTGACTGCCCCAAGCAAATATTCTAGGAGAAAATCCGATATGACGTTCTTTCGTGAAGGTTGTTGATGGCTTTAAACACGGAATTACCAGACTAATGCCGACCATCACTGCTTTCAAGACGGGAAAGATAGGTATTTGATTTCTAGTCATCTTTTTATTATAGGTGGTTCTATTATTTTGCATTTTATCCTACTATATTACTATTATTTCTTGATTAAACAATTAATACGACATTTAAAAAAACGGCGGTGAAGAAAAGAATGAATAAGGGACATATGGCTATAAGAACTTTACAAAAGTTTCGTTCAATTCTTTTAACTTTTTCTACAAGGGAATTTTCGAAACCAGACCATTCCTGCTCTTTATAAAATCGAGTTACCAAATAACGAGAGAATCAGTATTTTCCAAAATTTTAAGCAAGGAATGAAATTGATACGTAATCAATATCTTTTACAAGTTTCAATTTCGGCGATTTTAATTTTTACCACGTATTCCTTAAAGTTTATATTATTTATGCATCGGCATTTGTATATTATTTTATATATCAAGTATCTATTTCAATTTTCATTATTATGAATTAGCAACTGCTATAACTGTTCTCTTTAGCATCGTCTTTCCTGCCCCTGAGCGATATCTAATGCTTTGTTCAGACGATAGGTTATCGTCATAAAGCTTTGTGGTTTAAGCATAAACGTTACTTAAGTTCTTAAAGTTACTTAATTTCCTTCTCACCTATATAACTGGGTTCTCACCTATTTAACAGGGTTAAGCTATAGCCAATCAGGGAAGTAATGCGCATGCGTAAATGTGTAGCTGACGCAGCGAAACCTGATGCAGCGTCACCGATGTTTACTTCGCTGTGATTGATGGTTCTTAAACAAACTTGGCATAAAGTTAAAAAAGAACTTTTAGACAAAATCCCTAAACCAGTTTTTATGGCATAGAAATGTTTGGTTGCTTAACAACGAAGCTCAAATTAAAATTATTATAATTTTAAAACCAATGTTTAAGGTATAAGTTGTATGCTTGTCGACCTACGGCAAACAAAACCTTATAAGATCTTTCTTTCTTTACTATTATAAGGATATAGCTTGATCTTAGGAGGAAACCTAGCGACTTCTCGCCCAGGCATGAATAATACCAGCACGGTAGAAAGGTAAAATAAACACTTTATTATTATTATAAATATTGTGGTTAATCCTAAGGCAGTTAAAATAACATGGGAGAAAAGTATAACCAGTATAATTAACAGAAAACTACTATTTACTTGTGGTTTCATTCAGGTTTCCGGAGAATAAGTTCACTTAGTTAAGTAAATTAATCAGTATTCAAAGCAAAAAGAGCACTCTGTAAATAAAGAAAGAATGAATATAATTAGAAATGAAGAAATAGAAAACAATTATACATTAATAATTATAAATTAGAAAAGAAGTTTTAAATTACATTAAATAATAATTTTTGCAGGAGAACGCAAACAACAACATTGAACTCAAACTCGCATGAAATAATTATTTAGAAAATGTTTTTAACCCTTAGTGGTCAGGTATCCGACCACGTTCGGAGCAAATGTTTTCAAAAAAGCAGTATAAGTACTATATTATAAACACATTTTCTCATGTATTATCTACAGAAAATATCAGCATTCAATATATACTATTATTATTCTGCAAAAAATATTAAATTTACGTGAAATTTTAAGCAAATTTTAAAACAATTTGAAACTTTCCATATGGAGAAATATTGAAGTTATATTAAAAAAGTCATACAATAATAAATTACGTGCTTTTATCTAGGGAATAAAGTTGAGTTTTAAGAATATCATAAAAATTAAAATTTTCAGAATTTTGAAAAATATTATGAGTTTTTTGATGAATTCATGATGTTCATTGTTTACATAACAGACCACAGTTTCAAAAATATTTAGGATAGAAATATTCTGGTGCGTCATTCCCTAGATAAGTACATATATATTAAGCATACAATGTTTCATAAAAATAAAAAATAATAATTTGATTTATCTTGCACCCTGTAAGCAAGTTTTTAGAAAAAATATATTTTGAGAAAAATGCACTTGAAGTTTAAAATGCTATATTTTAATTATTAAATCTTTACCCAGATACATAACTCCGCTCTTTTATATAGGTTAAACCTTCCTTTTGTTCAAAGTTATCTGTTTTGCTGTTTATATTCAGACTAATTGTTTTTTGTGGCAATTTTTACTCTGGGTAGTGAGTGATATTTTGATAAACTTATTCGCTCCATGTCGAGCGTACTAAATCTTTCGACTGCATATTCACCATTTGGCATATCTATACAATTTAAAATAGGTGGTAAACCTAAAAGCACTCTGTTAAAGTGCATAGCAGATATATATGCCCCCAATTTAAGAGTTTGTAATTCCACAATGGCATCCATCGGTAAAACCTTCCAAAAAATGTCACTAATTTTTTTTTTTTTTTCATTTTGTGTCTTTCTTTATAAGCACTTTTATAAAAGCTTCTGATCATATAGTTTTATATATACACTCTTAAGAATACTAATTACATTTTTAGCAGTCCTTTGAATTTGTTTGTGTACACTCTTCTAACAGATACAGCTCGCTGATATTTACAAAAATGTCTCGTCGATCTGGGCACTGACAATGCATAGGTTGTTTTGCACTATGGAAAGTGCGAAAAAAATGAAGCAATAGCAGTAATTTCCATTTTTGTTCCTGATTGTAACTCCACTTTGAAGTTTGTCGATAAAGACATGCATTAGTGAGCGACGTTGACCTCTTCATCAAGATATTTTTTCTAACTCAGGAATGGGGCTTCTGAATATGAATTATGCGTTCATATTTGGTGGCACTATTTAAACCTAAGTATTTTTCACATACAAATTACTTTCAAAAACATCTAATGATGAGAAACAATTGAGTTTTAATTCATTCGATGAGAATTGCTTTATTAACATTATTCTCAACTTCCTTCGCAACCCGTTTCAAAAATTTGTTCCTTACGCATTTAGGTTTACAAACACAGCTTCGATTTTTTATCACCCTTTATTATACTTTTAACTCAAATGCTATTAAAAATAATCAAAGAATATGATTAATCTAATTGCAATATGTGATGTTTCGAATCAGTTCTATTCGATTCGAAATGACTAGCATATGCTGATATATGAAATGACTACCATATGCTAGCGACGACATACGCTTTCGATATGTAATTAATAAAAATTTTTCATTTTATTGGAAACAATTTCATGTTGCTTCACAGACTACAGATAAGATTCTTTTCATTCCCTCTCTTTAAAAGCTTCTACATTATATTTCAAAGGTAAAAAATTGTTTATGTCCATTTTTAGCTCTTTTCAACCTTTTGAACGCGCACTTTCGGTGATTTAAATGCCCATTTTCGGTTTTTGCGTCTTTATGAAATCCTTAATATCTCGATTTCTAATTAATGTAGAAACAAAAGCAGACCAGTTTTGGAAAGCTATCCAGTGAACAGTCTATCCAATGAACGAATAAAATTTATAACAATAAAACCAATAAAACAATCTATGCAATGATCGAATAAAAAATGGCCATATTTTGTTTGACAAAATTGGCCTTTTCAGCGTGTTCGGATACCTAAGCTCAAACTTACATGAAATAATCGCTCAGAAAGTTTTTGAACCTTTTGTGGTCTAAAGTCTATTCCCAGTCGCAAAGCTTTTTTCCGTTCCGTCTTCTGTGATTTCAACTACACACAGCAAAGAACCATACTGATCTTAAATTATATTGAGAAGCTTCGGAGATACATAAAATTCGAAATAATACTAGTTTACAAATAATTCGAAATAATACTGGTTTACAAATTGCGTTAAGTGTAATTATGTATTTTCGCTTCTTAAAATGTTTTTTTTTAAATAATACTCGAAAATGGAAAAAAGAAAGTTATTCAAGGAAGTGTACCGTGAAACTAAAAGTAGGCTGACGAATTTTATTTTGACTCTTTGAATAGCAACTTTGATACAGAAAATGATAGCCGTTTTTTTTTAAATATTTATATGAGCGATTCTGATAGTAGCATAGTTCCAATAAAGCGAAGAATGATGCAATTAGAAATTGATATGGAATCAGAATAAACTGATGAAAATGAGAATATTGCTATAAATTCTCTTACTGATTTGTAACAAAAATCAGCCTAAATCAAAAACTGATTTTTCGACGAGATTTAAAATTGTTAGATCTAATGCTATTCTTTTATTTCACAGAACCTATCGATTTTTTCAGACTGTTTTTGACAGGTGCACTGCTTGCAACATTTGCACTAAAATCAAATAAATGCGGCAAAAATATTTTGCCGTATAATTTTAATTATTATTATTTATATTAAATTAATTTTGTGCACATGTTAACATGCTTTTAAAACCCACGGCTTCGTACTAAAAATGTGTATAAACTTAATATGACTGCAAATAGTTAAATCGATGGTCTAATCTTGGGAAGCGTCATCTTGCCACTCACTAAGTGGTTTCTTTTTCTTTCCCAAATGACCGAGAAGGCAACAATAAATCAAATTACTTAAAATGTCACTTTTCACCACAAATAATACTTGGCAAGAAAATAAATAAAATCAAAACTAATGTGGCATAATTTTTAAAACATTTTGAAGGAATAACAAGCCAGGGCTAGGCTTTAAGGAGTGATGCAGATAGAAAGCTTATCTTAACTGTAGGGGCGGTGCACCTGCTGCTTGAAGTTTACTTTACTCTTACATATCAGTTGCAGTCAACATGAAATACAAGATTAATGGCTGCATACGATATATATTTATACGATCAAGAAATTTTATTTTATAAGTGATTTAAAAAGGCTTATATGTTCCAGATCACAAAAAGTTAACTCAAAATTATTATAACATCACCTGCTATCATCACTTTTATACCGTGTATTTTTTGAATTTTGTAATTTTCGTAAACAGTTTTGTTTTTTCTGACTCTTCGTAATACTATTCGTTCGTAATTAAAAAACTAATCGCGTTTTAGATGAGGCTTAGTTAATTTCCTTTTTAACTTAGTTTCTTTCCATGTTATCCAAAAAATAGTAATATGATTATAATAGATTTTTCTGAACAACGTCATTACAGTTCATTGATAGAATCTTTGTTTATTTGTTTGTATCATTACATTCGATTTTTTTCTTTTTTATTATAATTATGAAAAACTAATATTTAATATCACATACATACGCACACACACACACACACACACACATATATATATATATATATATATATATATATATATTAAAAGTAAACAAGATAGTTTATTAGTAATAAATTGCCTCATACTTTGCACTAAAGCTGCTAAGTAATAAAATAATAATTTATTTACTAGTGGATTAATGAATATATTACCTCCTTGGAAAATAAAGTAGTTAAATTATAATTCTATTGTAATAAATTTACTCATTAGCATATTTAAAGCTGAATAATTAATATATTAAAAAAATTGGAACCAACAAATTAAGCAATTATCGCTATTGACCTGAAATTAGTTGACTTTTCAATGGGGAACAAACTAACTTCCGATCAATAAACAATAATTAATAGATGCGTTATCATCTTTCTCTCAAGTAAGAATCAAGGCTAAGAAAGCTGCTCAGAAGATTATATATAGATAGAGAAAGAGTATTGCATGAGTACAATGCTCTCGCTTTATAGATATGTGTTTGTGTCTTCTTTTTAATTGCTTTTTTTCTATGTTATACTAAAACTAGTATTATGTCTACAATAAACCTTTTTGAGCTATGTCATCTCAAAATTAATTATTTTTATATGATTCTTATCTATAACTTATGTCGCATGTAGTTACATAATGCTTCAGCAATTCTTAAGAGTTATCTTCTACAGATGGAGGTACAAAGACAGATTTAGACTTGATAAAGCCCTAAGCTATTTAAGATATGGGGCCCTTTATCAGTCTGTTGTAATATATTTTAATATTATTTATACTATATTTAAATTTTTGGGCGCCACTAAGCTATAGCTTTGTAGCTTATACGTAAGTCCGAACCTGGGAGGTACCAGTAAAAAAATCTTTGACACAGATTAACTTTTAAAAACATCTTTAACCAATTTTCGAATTTCATTTTAAAGTAGTTTTCCCCTAGTTAGCTATAACGAGATCAGAGTTTCGTGAAAACAAGTTTAAAATATCTTCATTGCATTGTTTTCAAGAAGAATTCTATTGCCGATATCTTCTAAAATTTATTTCGCTATTCCCGAGCGAATTCCAATCGACAGAAACGTAGAGTCTACTATTTCAAATGCGTACATAACGTGTATAAAAAATGAACAAACTTGTATATGATT